TTTTTTTTTTTTTTTTTTTTTTTTTTTTTTTTTTTTTTTTTAATTTAATGGTTAGATCAAAAGGTTTCCATTTAGTCTCTTTCAACACTTTTTTTATTCACTCTTTTAATGTACATGCATCTTATGATATTTAGTTAGAGCATTTAAAGATGAATTGTTCTAATTCCTACCAAATCTTCCGTCTATCAAATTATTAATATCATGTTTGATACCATTTGTTACGGTCCAAGCCCACCTAACAGATATTGTCTGTTTTAATCTAGCTTTACAGAGTGTTTTGTATCCCTCTCCAACCGTTATTTATCTCACAATCCACCCCCTTCCAATATCATCCAATTTTATTATACACGAAATACTATTTTAGCTTCCCATATTTTCATAATAGTTCCTTTTAGTTTACCTTCAAATGTTCAAATATAGTTCTAGAACTATCAATAAATCTTAAAATTATAGAATAAGAAAAATACAGATGAGAATCAAACCTATTTTAACTCATTTATATTTAAATAATTTGAGAACATTAGAAACTGGATTAAACTAAAATTAACGACCGAGACCAAATTAAGACATAAAAAAAAGACTAAATATTCATTTGGCCTTAATCATACAATTAACTTGCTAGTGTAAGAACTATCATTAGTTCAAAACAGAGCACAAACAACTTTATTAGGCATGTTGAATATTAGCAAGAATTATATGGAGAGCTGACCGGTTATATGAAGCCTCCAGTGTAGGGCACACCAGTTGGAGGCAGCCACGCATCCCCAACCAGGAAGTTTGAAACTGTAAAATTAGAAGCATCAGTAGCATTAGAAATGACATGGTAACCAGGCCAGGTGACTCTGTTCTTTGTATTTGATCCAGCTCCTGTATTATTATACTCTGCATAATACAATGTGCTCAAGTATTCCCCTGACCATGGATCCCAACCAGCAGGATTTACGAACCCATCAATGAATGTCTGCATATAAACTGTTCTTGAATATTGCTTCCATGGCCTTCCCAAATATGTCTTGTTCATGTAACTCTTGCTTGCAGCTAAATCGCTCGTGGCTCGGATTGTGCAGTTGTGGATCGAAGTACCGGTGTTTTGGTTCGGGTCCGATCGACCTTGAGCAGTGATCATGTTGGTCTGTCCAGAACGTGGTAGACGGGGATATATGTTGCAGTTTTGGAACACAACAGCTGCATTTCCAAATATGAAGTCCACTGTGCCATAAATGTCACATTCTCTGAAGAATTGTCTTAGGGAGTGAGTGTATAAGGTGTCCTGGTAACCCTCAAAGCTGCAGCTGTAGAAGATGGACATATCGGCCCCGCTTCTCATTGCAACTGCTTGGCCTTTGATTGCTCCAGCTGTGTTTTGGAAGGTTATGTTAACTGCCATGAATCCTTCTGCCGCCACAGCTGCATCATTCATGTAAAACCAAATGACATCTTAAACTTTGGCTTAGTTTAGATGATTACATATTTGAAGTTTGAAATTCCAGCCACATCTAATAAATCAACTTGAATTAATGATGCCATTCACTTTTTATTAGTATCCACTGCTAACAAATATTATTTTTTTGGGCTTTTCCAAGCTTCCCTTCAAAGTTTTAAAACAGCATAGATATGGTCTTTTTTGGACTTTCCCTTTTGAGCTTTCTTTCCAAGTTTTAAAATGCATCTATTGGGGAGAGGTATCAACACCCCTTATAAGGAATGTTTCGTTCTCTTCTCCAACCAACGTGGGATCTCACAATCTACTCCTTTGGGAGCCTAGCGTCCTCACTGGCACACCGCTTGTGTCTGGCTCTGATACCATTTGTAAAAACTCAAATCCACTGTTAGTAGACATTGTCTTCTTTGAACTTTTCCTTATGGGCTTCCCCTCAAAATTTTAAAACGTGTCTACTAGGGAAGGTTTCCACATTTTTACAAGGAATGCTTCGTTCTCCTCTCCAACCAATATGAGATCTTACGTATTCTCAGAATTGAACCTTAAATCATTTCGTATAAGACAATCAATGTTAATCAAAAGCATGCTTTTGTTTCTAATCACATAGTATTTCAAAATGCTTACCAAAAGTTGCACTGTTGAAGGTAGTCCAGCCGTCAGCGACGCTTTGGTTGCCCGTAATGATGGTCTGATTTATACCATCTCCAATCATGAGCAAGTACTTCTTCTTTGAAGGGATCGACACATACTCTTGGTAAACACCAGCTGCGATGTAAATCAAGAAGTAGCCATTGACAGCAAGAGAGTTGTTTGGAGCTGCATTAACAGCTTCTGTGATGGTGAGGAAGTTTCCTGTACCATCTTGACTCACAACTACAATACCATTAACCAAAATTCCATCATCTGAAGAAGATGAAAGCCTTCTTCGATTCGCCACCGAATTATAAACAGCACGGTCATGTTTTGACATTCTCAATGGCAACGGACCTTTCCTAAACCGGAGGTGTTTTGTCACAGGATGATCACGTGTTCTGTTTCTATTCCTAGGCACCCAGCCCTTTGTAAAAAGATCTAGAGAAAGACTGTATGATTTGGTACAATCAATGAGTGGTGCTAAGAGATCTTTCTCCAAACTAGAACCTGAGGCTACGGTATTTAGGCCATCAAGACAAGTATCAATGTTGGTTAAGATAGCACTCAGAAGACTCTGGATATAATCAGCTTTTGAGTAGGTTAGCTTTTTATCAGTGCCATTGACAGCCCGAAAAGAGTTCGACAAGAAATTAATGTTTAGTTGGGCAAGATATTGGCAATCTTTAAGACCACCAGTGACGGATTTTGGTAGAGTGGAACTGTTTTGAAGATGCTTCTCAATCAAGTTCAAGAATGTAGTTGCTTTAGCCAAAGACCGACGCATCGAAAACCTACCTGATTCATAGACATTGCCTGAGGATTTTTGAAGCACAGAGATGCAGTAAGAAGGATTTGAGGTGAATTTGCAAATGGCTTTTGCAAGGAATAAATCATTGAGAGACCCATCTGCAGCAAAAGAAGAACTGATAAGAGTTAAAAGTACAAAAAATGAAGCTATTAAAGCCATTGGCTTTGAACAAAAACTCAATTGTGAAAACAGAAGATAGCTAAGTCCATATATATAGTGGCCAGATGAATAATGGTGAAATCTGCAACTTGTCAAATTGTAAGTAAAAGTCAACAAAATAACTTCAAGTACAAAAAAGAAACAGTAAGCCTAGCCACTTTCTAGATCAATTGTCGCACAAACATATTCAAAACACACCCACTTTGGGTAGATTGAGTAATCCATGCTTCCTTAAATGCTGTGCTAAGAGACAAGACTTGGTCTTTTTCTTGAACATTATAATACGAAACCAATGGTGGAATTTCCATGTGAGTTTGACCTCGATAAGGGCTCAAGAGATACCTGGATGGAACCCTCCCTGCATGAATTGCACGTTTCCAACCTCTACTGCTGTTCATCAAACATGCTGCAGCCACATAGGAAGTGAGCTTAGTTCAACCTTATAATTGATATATACTTTTAATACAGAGACTCAAGCTAAAAAATATTGGATATTTCAGTAACGTAAAAGTATATTTAAATCCTAACTTGTTCCGCTTTTGCCTCCAAGTTGTTTAATTTCTTTTTTTTTTCTTTTTTTTTTTGTCATAATTTAGATCTTTGTATAAAAAATGTTTTGAATAGTTAATAAGGTAAGGTATGATCGTGCGCACACAGATTAAAATCTTGTAAAATATAACGAGGCAAATAAGGAGGGAATATTCAAGAAGGAAATGACCCTTAAACAAAGATGCACTTGACACATTTTATATATGTATGTGTTATTATATTAACCTAAGGAGAAGACTTTAACATAGGCCATGTTTGAAGCTACCTGCATTGTAAGTTACTAGTTCTTGGGCCAAGTAAAAAAAATAAAAAAACCTTTGACTTATTCGTTATTTATCTCAAAAATATCTTTATTAGTTCAAAAGTTTCAATTCTAGCCTAAGAAATATCTTAAAAAAACGCTACGGTATCAAATGACAAAGACATTGTTGAAAAAAAAATGGCTTTTCCGGAATGAAATTTTTGTTGCTATCCGTTACAATAACGAATCATTGATTTAACTTAATAACTAAATAAAATAAATAGACTTTTCTCTTCGTCTTAGGTCGACCAATATTCTCTATTGAAAGATCCCCGTATGGATAATACACAAATGTTTCAAAAATACCCTTTATTTATTTTTTTTTTTTTGACATAACTTTGTGCTTGCTTACAATCTTATGTCAATTTTACTATTTTGCACCTTTTTTTCCCTCTCTTTGACTTCTATTTTTCAAGCCTAATTCTTAAGAGAACAAAAATATTGTTCTAATTTAATTTTAAAATCTATTTTATTTCGTTAAATTAAATAAAATAATTTTCTTGTAAATCACTTAGAATAAAAATACATTGTATTTTTGTTTTGCTTCAATTTTTGAGACATTTGTAAAAAATAAACCTAGAATTGAAACTTAAAGAATAAAATTATCTTTTAAACAAATAGTAAAGATGAAGGGTATTTTTCATAATCTAGCCTAAAAAGGTAGGGCACAAGAAACCCAAATTATATTTAAAAATAAACCATTTAATCAAATTTAATTAATTACTTTTTCAATTTTATCATTTAAAATATATATATATATATATATGAGAGATAAAGAAAAGCAATTAGGCATTGAGTACCTTACACACACCTTGATCGCTGTGTAATAACGAACCAGTCAGCGACCCGATCGGTTGGATGAATTTTGATCCATGCAAATGAGAGAGACAGCAAAATTAGGCATGAACCCTCAACTTCCTGCGCCAAACCCAAACTGTTTTTCCGCCAAGAACGTTAAACCTCTCACTAATTCTTCTGTAATCTCTCTATTTCTTCCATTTATGCCACACTGCTCGACAGATCCAACCGAAACGAACAAGGGGAAAAGGGATCGTACCGAGAAGAACTTCTCTGATCGGTGGTTGTGTGGTTTCTTCAGCCGATGCGTCGTCATTAGGACGCATAAACTGGAAATTTTTGGAACGAATCACACACCCATCGATCTGGGGACTATCAAAGAAAAACCATGGAGGTTCTTCGGATGAGGCAGTTGATGTTGTTGTGGTCAACAATTCAAAGCTCCCGGGTTGCTCTCGTGGGTGGTAATCACACCGCTGCCAGATTTTGCACTCGCTAAAATTCCCTTTTCCCCTGCTTTAGCTTCCCCTTTCCCTCTCTGCCTGTTTGCTCTTATCTTTCTGCAATTTTCTTTAATTCTGTTTTTGCTCCAAATTAACCGCGCAACAAGCGATTTAGAAAAAAAAAAAATCTCCATATAGTTTCCAAGTTTTCATTTCAAGCAACCAATTCATGGAGTTCGGCTTGGTACATGCTTTGAAGTCCCAGGAGTACGACCACGTTCCTCATATGTATTTGGTAATCAAGCACCCTGCAGCAGCAGGAGAATCTAGGGTTATTAGATTTCTTGCTCGAGCTGTGCTCTTGGCTTTGTTCATTGTTTCCTTGCCTTATTTAGGAGCAATTCTCAGAGGAGGATCCTCGATCGCGTCCCAATCGCTAAACGATGCCGAATTTGGCTCTGAGAATGATATCGGCACTGTCACTTTGCAACTAAACGGCAACACAAATAGCTACAGAATCGTTTACCACCAACAATCTGATTCTACAAACATCGATGTGGAGAAGACCGAATTAGGCCAAAATGAGATCAAACACCCCGCTCAACGACGACTCTTGGCATACGAATCTGACGCTAAAAGAGCCGCAGCCCTTAAAGAACTCGAAGACGTCCTTCTCGAACCGCCGCGATCAGCATCGCGAAAATCTAAGCGATACTTGCAACGAACACGATACCTTCCAGATTTGATGGGCGATTCTCTCGAAGGCTATCCCCGCCATGTTTTCATCGACGTCGGACTTCCGGAGAAGGAAGGCGGAAGCGGCACAAGCTGGTTCGACAACAACTACCCTACCAGAAATAAGAAATTCGAAATGTTCAAAATCGAGACAGTGAGTACCGATCAAGAGCCATCCTCGAATCCGCCGCAAGTCGGTATATCGGACTGGCTGTCGAATAACGTAAGAGCGGAAGATTACGTCGTAATGAAAGCAGAAGCCGAGGTTGTGGAGGACATGATAACATCCAAAGCCGTAGGGTTGATCGACGAGCTTTTCTTGGAATGCAAGCCTCGTACTAACGGTGGGCGGAAGGTTTCCGGTGGCGGCCCACGACCTTACTGGCAGTGTTTGGCTCTGTACGGCCGGCTCCGAGATGAAGGTGTGGCGGTTCATCAATGGTGGGGCTGAAAAGCGTAGTAGAATCACTGGAGAGAGTTTCCATTTCTTTCTCTTTAGTTTTTAGTTTTTCCTTTTTTGTGCCGTTTTTCCTCTATTCTTTTTTTTTTCTTAAAAAAAAAAAAAACAAAAACAAAAATAGTTTTCATATGATCCAATTCTTCTGTTTTTTTTTTTTAAAAAATAATTTTAATTATATGTATACATTATATTTCAATTTCTTTCCGTTTTTAAATGTTTACTTACTTCCTATATATATTAGTTAATAAATAAATAAATAAATATATATATATAGTCTGTTTTAGGGAATGGCGACTTACAATGACTTTGGCACTTCCTATCGAGGTCTACCCAAAAAAAGAATCCAGAATCCAATGGTTCTTTATCGTGCATATTTGTATAGGATGAATCGCCCGTTTCTTGGTCGTGAATATTTGTATAGCATGAATCGCTTTAGAATTAAGCTCGTTGAACTGAAATGTGTATTATTCATATGAGGGATCTTTCGATGTAGAAGCTGAAATGTGTATTATTCATATAAGTGATCTTTCGATGTAGAAGATTTGTCGTCGATCTATTTTATTTAGTTATTCAGTTAAACTAATGATTCTACCAATAAATATATTAATATAAATATTAAATATTATATTGTCTATTAAAATTTTTTATTATAAAAAATATGTAGGCAGGCATTTTCTTTTTATCCAATTTATTTTTTTATTATAAAAAATATGTAGGCAGGCATTTTCTTTTTATCCAATTTATTTTTTTATTATAAAAAATATGTATGTAGGCATAATCTTCTCTATATCTACCTTATTATTTGAATTCTGATTTTTTAGCATAGTTCTTCAAATTTTACCCGCGCCAGGGACTTGGTGAAAATGTCTCCAAATTGTTCCTCTGTTCGGATGAAATCAATCTTGATGAGCCTTCGATCTGCACATTTTCGAATGTAGTGGAATCTGATTTCTATGTGCTTGTTTTGGTCGTGCAAAACTGGATTTTTGATCAGGGAGATCGTAGCTTTGTTGTCCACATATAGCATTGGTGGATCGCTTTCTCTCTCGATGAGTTCTTGCATTAGTCTCGCAAGCCAGACCCCTGTGTTGCTGCCATCGAAGCGACGATGTATTCTGCTTCTGTTTTGTCGATTGCTAGCAGATCACGCCGCCTAAGAGGAAGTAGATCATTTCGCTGGTGCTCTTACAATCATCAACGTCACCGGCCAAGTCACTATCACTATAGCCGACCAACTTGAGTTTCTCCTTTCCTCTCCCTCAATATCTTTTACACCCTAAGCCTCTGGTTCCAGCTACATAGCGCAGGATGCGCTTGACAGCCACTAGATGTTCCTCCCTAGGTGCTTCCATAAACCTACTCACATATCCAACATAATAAGCAAGACCAGGACGAGTGTTTACCAGATAGCACAGACTCCCGACAATGCTGCAGTAATTGGTCGAGTTGACTGTCATCGTAGTGCCGACCTTCCTTAGTTGGAGCCGGGCCTCCATTGGCGTCCTTGTAGGATTACTGTCCGCAAGCCCAATTGTGTCCAGGAGCTTCTTCGCGTACGCACTTTGGCAGATGGAGATGCTGGTAGAATTCTGTTGCACTTCGATGCCGAGGTAGTAGCTAAGCACGCCAAGATCGCTCATCTCGAAGTTTTTTGACATCTCCTTCTTGAACTTTCCGAGGACTTCCATGTCGCCTCCAGTGATTATGAGGTCGTCGACGTACACTTCCACGATCAGTCGCTGCTTGCCATGGGCGTGTGTGTACATGCCATGCTCAGAGGCACAACGCTTGAACTTCAGTGACAGTAGGGTACTGTCGAGCTTCACGTTCCAGACTTGTGGGGCTTGTCGAAGCTTGTAGAGTGCCTTGTGCAGGCGTAGTACCTTACCAGGGTTGTCGTTGTCTAGGAAGCCAGGTGGTTGCCGGACGTAGACGATCTCCTTCAGCTCTCCGTTAAGAAAAGCAGACTTCATGTCCATATGGTGAACTTCCCAAGAGCAATGTGCCGCAATTGCCAGTAAAAGACGATGAAGACGACCTTTAGCCCCCCTGGGATTGAGCTTGGCGAGGTGGGGACGCGTTTTGTAGTTGGACCTTGTCAGCATCGGGTATTGAACGGTGGCGGTCATTGTCTCTCTTATCACTCGCTCAACGATAACTCGACGCTTGTAGCGTGGAGGAGTGAGTGAGCCTGCCCGGGATGAACCCCACAATGTGTGTATTTTCGCGATTTGCATTTTCTTCTACTCGAACCTAAGGCTTGTGTATTGTTAGGTCAACGCTCTAACCACCGATCGCTTCAACCTGGCTTTGATACCAATTGTTGAAGGATGTGGAGATAATTAAAAAGTGAATTATAAAACAAATAAATGGATGAAGATGCACATGTTTTTTTAGGAAAAAGAATAATTATTAAATAAATTTGGTTTACTATAATATAAAGAACAAAATCAGCTGGCCATCAACTACCTAACACTAAACAAATTTTAAAAATAAATTTCAAAATAAAAATAAAATGGTTATTAAAAAATCTCTAAAAGTTTAGGTTAGGTGAAAGTGTCCCACATTGGTTAAGTTAGAGAATGGTCATGAGTTTATAATCTAAGAATATACTCTCCTTTGGTGTGAGGTTTAGAGCTTCCTAAAGCAAAGCCATGAGAGCTCATGCTCAAAGTGGACAATATCATACAATTATGGAGAATCGTATTCGTCTAACATGATATCAGAGCCATGTACTAAACTTAGTCGGGTAGTGGATGCTAGCTCCCTTCGTGTTTCCATCCGATCACCGCCCAGTTGTCCCTCCATATCATTCTTCAACCTTTTTCAGAAAAGAAAAAAAAAAGAAAAAACAATATTAAATCTCTTATTCTTATTTATTACAAAAAAAAATAGAAATAAAAGTTATAACGGAACGGCATTTAACGACGAACCGAAATTAAAAAAAAAAACCTGACCGCATCGAACCGGACCGGACCGGACCTACGAGAAAAAGGGGAATATTTGAGGAGCGGAGAATTCACGCTTTCCAACACCAAGAGAGAATGGAATTCTTTGCCTCCGACCGCAAAATAAAAAAATAAAAAGTTTTTTTTTTGTTGAATTTAATTTGGGATATAAATATTTATTATTTTATTCATATGCGTAATTTCATTTTCCGCGTTATACCCTCTTTTTTTTTTTTTTTTTTTTTTTTTTTTTTTTTTTTTTTTTTTTTTTTTTTTTTTTTT